ATGGAGCTTCTTTCTGACTGTGCCTTACATTTGGAAACGAGATGTAGCTGATTGGAGAGGATAAAATAATTCTCTTGGCAGTTACATCTTGTCTCTGCATTTCAGCATAGCTTCTCGTGCATTTTATTCCCTTCCTGCCTGATGACTAAATGCACTTTGCCTTCAGCAGTCTTGATGCTGTGCTCTCCCTGCACTGGGGCAGTGCAGCACTGCTGTGCTCTCCCTGCACTGGGGCACTGCAGCACTGCTGTGCTCTCCCTGCACTGGAGCTGTGCAGCACTGCTGTGCTTTCCCTGCACTGGGGCAGTGCAGCACTGCTGTGCTCTCCCTGCCTTGGCAGCTCTGCTCCCAAATGCAAACCACATGTCCTGTGCATGCACGAGCTGCTTCCCACTGCCCAGAGCTCTGCGTTTGTTCTCTGCTTGCTCTGGAACTTTTAATAATTGTGAAAATAAAGGGAGGGTCTGCTTGCATTGTTTATAGTAGGAAAGAACATTGCAAGATTTCATCTGCTGCTGTTGAGATCCCTTGCTATTTTTGGTATTTGACCTCTGCAGAGAAGATTGCCAGAGCTACAGGTCTTTTTCATTTTTATTATGTGTTTCTACCCTCCTACTCATAAGTTACCCGTACGTTAGTGATTAAGTCTTTGAGAATGTGCCATTTTTCCACATTTTCCCCTGTATTTTTCAAAGGAAAATTTGTATTTCTATATATTTTTGAGCTAACACTCCCTTTTGGAAAGGAGAACTATGCAACTTGGCAGCATCTTCTGTACACCACTCAAAGGAAAAGGGAAATAACTTATGATTTGCTGGTTTCTCTTTTGAAAAATGTTCTGGATTGAAGAGGACTGACTGATGAGCCTGTTGGCTTGAACTGAAGGTGCAACGTTTAGAATGCTGCACAAACAGCACAGCAGCAAGTGCTGGGACAATGTTAAGTTTAGTTTGTGCAGATAGGTGCTTGCTTTTCATTTCTCCACCATTGGAAAGGGCTGCCTTTAGCACAGCTGTTTGCTTCTAGTCTTGTTGTGTGGTTGTTTCCACACTCCACCAGTGAAAAACACGTAACAAAGGCATCTGAAAATCTTGTCCTGCATCTTTGGCATCACTTCCACTTCGTGCCTTCTATTCTAAACATTGAGTTTATTTCTTTTTTAAAGGAGCCTTGTAGGATGCCCTGGAGGTCAAAATATTTTAGGTTATTTCAGAGAATGGTATTTATTCTGAGTTCCCAAGATCTGATGAATTTTGAGTGTCCTTCCAGAAGTTTATTGTTTCTGGTAGTTGTGGTATCCAGGAGATGTGCAGGGAGGAATTGCATGTAACTGTGTACTTAATTAATAGAACAGATCACCTGAGTGTAATTCCAAGTCTAGATATAATAACGTAGAAGTTTCAGGTTTGATTTAGAAAAGGTGGCTTTCCTTGGCTTGGAGGGTGCAGGTGTGCAGATTCAGCTGTTCCACTTAAGGAATGGGGATCCCTAAGGATGGGATTGCACCTTTTTTCCCAAGCACAAGTGACTGGCCAGAGCTAGCCAGCTTCAGCCAGGTGCTGGTGTGTCATCCCAGTGGTGGTGGTTTCCTGGCACCCTGACATCCCCTGCATTTTGTCAGTGTTGAGACTATAGATCCAGACTGTGGGTGACTTTGCTGGAGAAAGTGAAAAACCTGAATTTAATGGATTACTTCACATTTGGCAGCATTCTCAGAATTCACATTCTGAGCAGAGGAAGACCTATGGGGAAAGAAGAGCTTTTGGCCAGTGCCCTCTGTGGTTTCTTCTGAGTCTGGAGTAGTCCAAGAGCAAGCTGTTGGTACAACTCTTTGTGTCAGAGAGTTTCTCATACAAGCATGAGCAGTTCTGCTCTCTGATCATCACAACGGGCTGTTGTGCTATGTCCAAAACATTTCAAAGACTCTGATTTTGCCAAAGGATTCTTTGGAAAACAGATACCTCTGTTGTTGAACTTAAGGAACTAAAAGTGCTTCAGTGCAGAGGACCGTGTGCTTTGTAGGTGGCTGCAGTCCAGTGCTTCGTTATCTTCTATTGTGTTTGGAAGACCATTGTTTCCTATTTGTCTCATAAATTTAACACAGATCCTATTCCTGCCATTTAAACTTTCCCATCAAAATACAACAGTGACTTCCCCTTCTGAAAAGGAAGGGCTGGCAGCTACACCCTGAAGTTTGAGCATGAATTGTTTATATAACCTTCAATCACAATTTCATAATAGTCTGAAGATTTTCTTGCTAAAGCAGACATTTTACTGAGTTTTTAGCAAAAACCTGGCTGCCATCGAACACAAGTCTGAGTTGTTGCAGTGGAAATAGAATTGAACCTTCACCTTCCTGATGGTAGAAATTGCATTTCTGTCTGAAAATATGAGCATCATTTTCTGAGATTTCAGAATAGCTGTAGTTAAGTCATTCTGGGCAAAAGCTTTTGAGTTGTGTTGAGCTAATTTTATTTCCCAGAAAATATTATTAAAACTGAATGAACCTCCTTTTGCAGACTTTGGCTTTTTATAACTTCTGGGTATTTGTAGAGTTCCTTCACCTTCCCCAGCAGTAAAAGCTCTGACATGAGTGTTGTAGGAACTGCTTATTGAAAGATACTCTCTATCATAGTCAGTAATATTTAAACAACTGCAGCTCGCCTTCCAAATGGATGACATTTGTCAGGAACTTGTCTGTTTGAGTATACTTGGCCTTTTGAGTAGACAAAGTCTGAATATTTAGAGCTTAAAATTCAGGTCAGCTTGGAAAACTATATTTTTCTTACAAGAAATTTGCAGAGAGAACTAGATTTTTTTAGTAACCATAGCACTGCAGGAGAGCTGGTTTACAAAAACTCCTTTTTCCACCCTCAAGCATGTGTGTTTGAAACTCTATTTAAATGGAAACTTCCATTGTAATTCTTCAATAAATTGAATTAAGCAGTTTAGCTAATTAATAATGTTAAAATATTTTGTTTATTCAGTTTATATTATTAATTTGCATGGATGTTCAACAGTTTTGTGTTTAAGCAGCAGAGCAAACAGCGTTTGAGAGCAGTTAGCTTTATGTAATAGTTCTAGTAAAAGCTTGTTTCATTTGAGGACATACCCAGAAAAGTAAGGAAGGAACAAGTTCTGTGGGTAGGTTGTACACAGGGTAATGCCAGAAAACACGTTGAACTTCTTTGCTTCAGAGGGAGAAGGAGTTTCCACAGGATGTCTGCATTTTATGGCAGAAATGACTGGTAGATGTGCTCTGAAAGGTTGCTTTGATGTAGAAGATTAACCTGGGGACCTCATTGTCAGGATATTACTGAGGCAAATCGCTTAGTGAGATTATTTGTGACTTGGGAATTAAGTTTTTATGTGTGCCTGCTTAAGCTGTTTTATAAGAAATTGCTGGTTTGTCACATGGTGTCGTGAATATTTGTGTTCACCAAACTAGAGGAGGGAAAGCAAACCCCTGAAACCACAAACAATGCCAAGAAGGAAAAAAAAAAAAAGCAGAATGCAGCTTTGTCATAGCAACTTCTCCTTTGTTTTTGGTCTCTCATGGGCAATTAAAATAATTGCAACTAAAGCAAGTAATACATGGAAACTTGCACATTCCACCCCTAAAAATCCAGCCTGGAGAATTTGCAGAAAAATTGATGATAGAACAGCTGGGAAGGCATGAGAATATTTTCTCACATTCTGTGTCTGCCTGATTTTTATTCCATTTCTCTTTGGATGTTTATTTTTTAAAGGGTCAATTCATGCATATGGTACCTGGGATTGGCTGCTGGTGCAGGCCTTAAGGAAATATCAGTACCAGTGAGAAATCACTGGAGTGTTGACCCCTTAAAACCTGCTGTGATTTCCTCAGTTTTGGGTTTTGATTCTTTTTAAACACAAAATAGTGGTCTCATTGAACCTGTGTTTTTGACAGAAGTGGATGAATGTAATAACATACCTACATCTTTATTTTAAAAATGGTTGTAGTTTTTGAACCACTAAAACCTTTGCAAATACCTCTTTAAAAAAGGTAAATGCTGCTGTGCTTTTCTTGGCTCTGAACTGATAGAGTGTTTACTGCAGATACAGAATATAATTTTCTGTTGTGTTACAGAAAGGAAAAGTATATTTTTCTTTTTTTTTAGGTCATATTTTAGAAGTGAATCTGTGAGAGAATCCAAGAGAATTTTGTTTAATTTTGGTTTTGCTGGGTAAAGTTTTCATTTGTATGCATTGCTGAAATAGTTTGGGTTTCTAGAAGGGTTCAGTAGTGCCAGAGTGGAATTGCCTCTGAAGGGAAGATTTTTATCATCTGCACTAAAAGCCAGTGTTCTGTGGTTTTACCTCGGCTCAGAAAACGCCGAGGTACTTAATTGCAGTGAATTCCACAGGTCACACCGCCTGTTTAGGTGGTCCCTGATACGCTGGCAGGTGTTTCTGTGCGTCATTGGGTACCTAAATACTTGTAAAATCACCTCACCGGGCCATTTCAGGCTGTAGTGCTGTGTAATGTTGGTCTTGTTCTCTGCCTGCCCTGTGCACGTCCCTCAGCACAGAAGTTCCCTGAGGAAGTCTCCTGCAGTTGTACTGATGCAGCTGTTTGTGGGCTGTGCTTCCTAGAACAAAACTTACTCCTCCTCAGGTAGAGGGGGTGACTTCATTTTGTTTCCACTTGTGGAGAACATCGTGTTACTTGATAAAAATAATAAAGCAAATTTAGCTAAGTGACTTTCCCAGGATTCCCAGATAGAGTGTTCAATCTGTTAAGGGGATTATCTGGTGTAGTGCTTACAGACACGAGAGGCTGAACTCCTTGAATCAGGGAGCCCTTTCCTGTTCTGTGATCCAGTGAATGAAGTTGTGGTGGGGAGGACATCAAGATAATTGAATTTTAGCTCCGTGCATCACCTCTGCACAAGATGCTTCCTTGTACGTGTTTTTCAAGCTAAACGCTGTTGAGGAATGTTGTAATTAAAGCTCTCCTTGGCTTTTATTTGTTGCAGGTTTCTGGCGAGATGACGGCGGTGGAGAAGGTGGAGGAGCAGCTGGCGGGGCTGCGCATAGCCAGGCGCTGCGAGCCCAGCGAGGAGCCCGCCTACCTGCTGGACATCCACAGCTCCAGGGCTGCCCAGCCCGGGAGCAGCCGCCTCGTGGCCGTCTCCTGCTCGGACGAGTCCCTCCGGGTGTACGACGGGGAGACGCTGCGCTCCCTGCGCCGGTACCGCGGCCCCGCCGGCGGCCTCAGCGGCGTCAGGTTTGCCCACACCTGTGACAGCCTGGTGTTCTCAGCCTGCAGCCACGGCAAGGTCAAGTGCTGGGATGTTCGCTCAGACACGCAGAAGCCCGTGCAGGTGTTCAGTGGCTACCCTTCCAACGTCTTCATCAGCTTCGACGTCAGCTGCGGCGACATCGTTGTTTGTGCCGGAACGGAAAAAGTGGAAAAGGACGCGTTTCTGGTGTTTTGGGATGCGAGAGGCATTACAGACTGTGCCAGTGCTGCTAAAGAGCCCTTGGGAGTTTATTCTGAAAGTCACAATGATGACATCACCAAAATCTGCTTTCATCCTGTTGAACCCAATTTGCTGGTGTCTGGGTCGACTGACGGCTTGGTGAACGTGTTTGACATCAACAAGGATAATGAAGATGATGCTTTGATATCGACTTGCAATTCAGATTCATCAGTGAGTTCTCTTGGCTGGTCTGGGGAAGATTACAAACAGGTCTATTGCGTGACACACGATGAGGGGTTCTGCTGGTGGGACATGGCTCAGCTGGACACAGAGGAGCCAATAACCCTGCTGCACGTTCTGGATGTCAGAGAGTCAGTGTGCGCTGAAAACCACGGCCTGCATTACCTGGTGGGTGGCTTGTACCACGAAAAGGCAGGGAAACTCTTCCTGATCGGGGGAACCTTCACAGGAGACATCCACCTGATCAGCTGCAGCACTGATGGCCTGAGCCTGGTGGGGACCCTGTGTGGGGGACACTCGGCCACCGTCCGCTCCTTCTGCTGGAGCCCCTCAGACGAGTCTCTGCTGACGGGTGGAGAGGATGCTCAGCTGTTGCTATGGAAACCCGGGGCTGTGGAAAGGTCCCTCACAAAGAAAGCATCTCTGAAGATCTCTTCTTCCGTGCAGAAGAGAGTGAGAGTTCACAGCACCTCCCTCAAAAGCAAGAAAAAGTGAATTGCCTGGAGTGAGAATCTCTGCTGTGTAGAGCTTTCCTGGTGTTCAGTCTCTCCAGGCAATACTTGCCATGTTTTATTTGGAGGTTTTCTGTTGAAAGAACCATGGTGCTTGAATTCCCTCTGGGAATGTATTTCAGTCATCAGAAGAATGCCTTTTTTTTTTTTTTTTTTTTTAGGTTGCTAATATTAATCAGACAAGAGTAAATGTTTGCTCCTGAGTTCTTGAACAACAGATGCTAAATCATATTATATAAAACTGTTTCTGTGGTTATTTAATGTCTCAGACAATGTTTTAAATATGTAAATACAGGCCTATGGATTGCATAGTTTGTTACCTTCCCAATGATATTCCCCTGGCACATTTTAAAAGCTTTTGTATTCCATGCTGTATTCTTCTTTCTTCACAGAAAACTTAATGAAATTGCTCAATTTAGTAAAAGATTTTATGTCACATCTTAATGCCTGAAGGAATTACTTCTTGATGAAACCGAAAATAAGTAGTTTTGCACTGTCACATCACTGGTTTAGAACAAGCTCATAAAGAAGCAGCTGATGGAGCCATCTTTTTCATAGCAGATATGAATGTATTCAACCAAACAGCAGCTAATTTGTATGAGTATGAGAACTGTTCAACTGGCATTATTTCCTGCACGAAAATATCCAAGAGTTTTGCAAGCAGTTTCATTCTCTCCTACTAAGTGCACCTGGAAGACTGGGGAGATCTTTGGTGGGTTGGAAAAATTGATGGTTGTAATTACACCAGTAGTGCTTAAAATCCCAAATCCTGACTTGAAAGAAACTGGTATCACATGCTCAGTGGGGATGCTGAAACCCAAAAATGAACACTGCCTTCAGAGACTGTAGTTATGGAGGAACAGACTGATATGAGGAGACTTTAACAAAACCTTTTAGAGGTTGGCTGGGTCCTTTAAGAAATGTGCCTCTCTGCAGAGGTTTATGCTTGGACATGTCCCCAGGAGAGCTTTGTTTTATTATTCCTCCATTGGATGGTGCAAAACCAGCCCTGTACTTGTAAAATGGGTGAGATTTCATGCTTATTTTGCTTTGCTGGCAGACTCCAACCTGTGCTCCTGGCACTGCACACATACTCACCTTCAGCCTTCCCACAACCATTGCAGGCAAATGGTGTTGGTATTTAGGCTGTAGTTACACATGTACAACTGAAACCACCACCAGAGAATTTAAGAATTGCTCTGTTACAGATTAGCTGGCAAAGGATTGAAGAGGGGTTGGGTTATTTTCTTTTTTCTCTTGAAGGTGCATAAGCAATTCTTGCAGAACAGCTCCTGAACATCAGGTTTAGAGGATTATCCTGGAGTTTAGAAACAGTTTCTGAGGTACAGAACATACTCTAGTGTGTGGTTACAGCTGTGCTGGAGATGCCTGAATCATCTCTGGAATTGAATCCTTTTCAACCACAAGTATCGAGTTTCCACAGGATGTTTCACAAACTGTTAATACCCTTTAGCCACAACTGTGAATCCATTGTTGGTTTGGGTTTGCCTGTTGGTGATAAGTAAGATGATTCACTTGGTTTTGTTACTGTTGGTTATTTAAAAGTGCAGCTTCAATTTGAAAATCACAGCTCTGTACACCCTTTTTTTTTGTCACTTGGTTAAATTCATGTTGTCCCCAACATCCTTATCTGTTGCTTTCCAGATTACATTGTGCTATTTTGAGATGAGGTGGGCAGTGAGTGTCAGGGCTATGATGCACCTGGATCATGTGCCCTCGAAGATTTATTATCCCAGGTCACAGTTTTTTTGCCTGTTGTGTAACTGAGTGGACCAAGAGCTTCAGACTCCGAATTCTCTGTAAAGCCTTCCAGGGCCTGACTTGGTTCAGTGCCAGATTGGGGCTGGGGGACTGAAGGATGGTTCTGAGACCTATTTCATTGCAGGTACCCAGTGTATAACTTGCTTTTTAGATGTTTATCCACTCTCTTCCTGGCATCTTGACACATTCATTGGAGTAAAGTCGTTGAGTCTGTCTTGTGCTTGATATCTTGAAGACAGGTTTGTGTGCACGTAGAGAAATGCACAGAGAGGGAGCTTGTGGTTGCCTCCACTTGTTTTCAAGTGTCTGCTGAGTGAAATTCCAGTGTGCTGTGCCAGCTGCCTCTGAATTAAAGCAGCAGAGGTGGGAGTTCTGGGACTGAAGAGTTTGCAGTCTGCAACCTGTGCCTATTGTCTGGTTTCTGGATAAGGTGGATATTGATTTGTTCTGTATCAGTCACAGCTGAAGCCATTATTATTTTCTCTGGGAAGCTGATTTCTCCCTTTTACGAGCATAACAGAAATAGAAGCAGAAGGGAAAAAATGTGTGTCTGTATCTTAAAATTCTGCAAAGGCACAGCAGCTGCCATGAGACTGAGGCTTGTGTTGCCTCTGAAAATACTCAATTTTGCTGTTTGTCTCTCTTTTGTGTTGACTTAATTTCAGGTTAATACCCACAAAATAAACATAGATAGAAGCCACGCGTGAACAAGTAATTAGTACTGCTTGCTTCTGTAGGCTGCAGACACTATTTCATAGACCACAGCAGAGTCAGAATGCATGTGTGATCACATAAATAATAATAGACTCAAAATCAGGTTAATGTGTCTGACAGTATTTAATCTTTTAGGGTAGTTTTGACATTTGCAAGTTGGCTTCAGCCAACTTGGAAAGAAACTCTGAATCATGGAATCACTGAATGGTTTGGGTTGGAAGGGACCTTTTAAAGGCCATTTTCTCCAACCCCCCCTGCAAGGAGAAAGGATTCCTGTGGTCCTGGTCCTTGAGCTTGTGCAGGTCCCTCTGGATGGCATCTCATCCTTCAGGAGTGCCTGCAGCACCTCTGGCCTTGGTGTCATCTGCTGATATGCTGAGGCTGCACTGCATCCCACTGTCTGTGCCATTAATGAAACAGTGCAGTCCCAGTACAGACCCCTGACCTCTGTCTGGACACTGAGCTGCTGACCATTACCCTCTGGATGTGACCATCCAGCCAACAGCCCATCATCAAATCCATCTCTCCAGTTCAGCAGGATGCAGTAGGGGACTGTGTCAAAGGCCTTGCAGGAGTCCAGCTCTGACCTTTCGAAAACTTACGTAATTAAAGCTGTGTGCAAGTAGCTTTCGGAAATCATCACTGGTATGAATTGTTTAACCCCAGGGGAAGCTTTCATTCCGGAAGCAGTGTCAGGTTTGTTCCAGTAAATAAAGAACAGAAATCCAGATAGACCTTAAATGCAAAAACCAGTGTCAATTTTTATTCAGAGTTTATAGTAAACCTGCTGTATGATATATCTGAGCAGCAGATTATCCTGCTGTAAACACATGAAAATTAACTCACTTGCATTTGGCATGTCCTGAAATGTACTCTGTATTTCTTTCTCTTGTTTCTGCAATTTAAGTACAGTACTTGCATGCTCACCACTGTTTTTCAAGTAAAAGATGCTCAGGATGACATCCCACAGTCTGTGGATAGCTTCATCATTTACTTGAGTGTAGGATTTTACCCACACTGTGGAGTTGAGCTGGAAATTACTTGACAAATCTAAAGTTGTGAATTCATTTCTGGGTGGAATATATTTAGCCAGTTGCCAGCCATAAGCTATTCTGTGGTCAGATTGTATATGGCACATGTCCTGCGTGTTCAAACTGCATATCTACATTGAAATATCCCTTAGCAGAGAAGCTGATACAGTAAAACATTTTAAAGACACAAAATGCAAGCTTTACACTGTTCCAAGTGACGGCTTTCTCTTGGCTCCTGCCGTGCTGTGGCTCTGTAGGTCAGAATGTTGTGGGAAGTAGTGCATTTTGTCATGGGAAGTGCTGACTCAGCCCCTGCACACTCCTGGAGCTGCATCTTGTGTTTTACAGGATCCTGGACTGCTTGGGGTTGGAAGGGACCTCTGGAGATCATCTGGTCCGACCCCTGCTCCTGCAGGTTCACCTAGAGCAGGTTGCACAGGATTGTGTTCAGGCAACGTTTGAATATCTCCAAGAGACTCCACAGCCTCTCTGGGCAGCTGTTCCAGTGCTCTGCCACCCTCACAACAAACAAGTTTTTCCTCATATTCAGATGGAACTTCCTGTGCATCAGTTTCTTCCCATTGCCCCTTGTCCTGTGACTGAAAAGAGCCTGGTCCCATCCTTTTGGCACTCACCCTTAAATATTTGTGTTTTAGGGAGAGGCTCCCTTCTGTCAGGAGGGGTTGGATATGGATGCACTTAATTGCACTGTCCATCAGCAAAGCTTTTGTACTCCTGAAAGAACTGCCACACTTGCCCATCTCCTAAAGATCATCTGCCGTGGTTAATTTGGAAGTTTTTCTGTTCACCCCTTCAAAATGGTCTTCTCTTGTTTGACTTCTTGGTTTCTTTTTGGATGGGGTAATGGCAAGTTAGCACCTGCTTTTCTGAAGAGATGAGTCCTGTTTCTTTCCTCTGGGAGCTCTCCTGCCCTGTGCAGGATCTGCTGGACTCTGCACTTCCACACCACACCAAATGGAGAGTGGGAAGCAGAGAGAGGGAAGAAAAAGGGGAGGTTGGCCCAGCTGATCCTCTGACAGGGCATCTCTCCAGGGAAGCTCCTTGATAAGGAGCTGGACCCCTCTACCTTCTGAAACACATGGAAGAGCTTATTCTTGAGCTTGATGTAAGCAGGATAGGACCTCAAAAAATTATGCAAGACATCACCCTTTAAACATAGAAACCAATTCCTGTTTGTCTGTGAGATGGGGTTTGTCTGTGAGATTGTCTGTGTGATTTGGCAGTGAAGTGTGAGAGGCAGAAGATGTTCATTTGCCAGGGCTGGGTGTTCTTTACTTCCAGGAGCAGTGAGCAGAGCCACTGGTTGAGCCGCTCTTGCTCTCCCTGCTCTGCAGGAACCAATGGATTTGGGGATTCCAAGTACCATGGAAAAACTGGAGGTCAGGAGTTGATGTGGAGATGACAGCTAAAGGCAGCAGTTCAGTCTGAACTTGCAGTTGGGATGATTATACAGCTCCCTGAGCAGTTACTTGCTGATAACCTATCAACCAATTCTGAGGATCTTTGATAACTTCTTGGTTTCTGTTTCCTTCTGCACCAGTTCTGACCTGGCACAAGTATATTGGCTAAGGGGAGAGGAGTTACCTGCACTTGCTGCCACTGCAGGTGTGGCCTCAGCTTCCTGACAGGCTGTTCTGTCCTGCTGGGATTTCTACATGTGTGCTTCTTCCAGCCTTCCTTTGGATACTTCGAAATCTTTATTTTGAAAGTTATCTACTTTTCTGGAAATAGAATGTCAGAAAATACTATTCTGTATACTCTTCCTGCAATCTTGGCACCAGTATTTTTAAGGGAATAGATTACATTTTGAATAGCAATTTCGGTCTTACTCTCTCGTGCTCTGACTAAAGATTTGATGGAGCTGCAATCCCATGAAGTTGGTGCTTGAGC